GAAGCTCCTGTGGGGGCATCCCCCTGCACAGCAAAGCCTAAGGTCCCAAGAGTGGCTGGGGGCAGTGTCAGTGTGGCATTGTGGGGCTGGCTGTGTGCAAGCAGGAACAGGCAGGTGGGGCACATGCAGGATTGCTCCTCCCCAGACATGCTGGGGACCATCAGGCCCCTAATCTGGGTTTGGTGGTGCATTCAAGGAGGCTGGTGCCTAGCAGTTAGCTGCAGAGCCATTCATTTGCCAGACTTATGTCCCTTCAGGCTCTGGCCCTCAGCCTCTCTGTACCTCAGGCCCACAATATCCTAAAGACTGTGAAGCTTTGCACTAGTAGGGTCAATGGGGCCATGAAAAATCCCAAGATCAGATCCATCAATCCAATACACCAAGAACAGGGGTACAAGTGCCCTTCTAACATCCCTCAACCATGTCCCAGAAGGACTGCTCAAGGGGAGAAGAAGACTGAAGAAGTCAGTCATTCTTCTTGGCCTTTTTAAAATTAAAACTACCAATTGCAGTACTGGCTCTTACACAGGCATCTCACCAGCCAGAACTGTAGGAAGATGCCAAGACCCAGACCCAGACACCCCTTGGTGTCTAAGCCTATGCATCTTGCTGGTCCACCCAAGGGACACACACCTCAGAGTATATAGGAAATGGTAGGCACAGGGTTGTGTCTGAACATTTGTGCATGAGTTGAAGATGTGGCTGGGCATCTCTGTCCTGCCAGGCTTCAGTTTGCTCAGAGATCCTGAATAAGAGGGACTCACTCATCTTTTGTCCAGTAGCCTCGTTGTTAGCGTATTGGCCCAGGCAATGGAAGACCTTGGTTCTAAGCTCACATCATTTGGGACCAGGGTGGGTTGAAAGCCATGCCTTCCAAAAAAGTCCCTAATACAGCAGGCAGTGGATTAGGCTGTGCTGTTCATGCATTTTGCATGGAATAGTCATCGTGGGGGAGCACAGACTGTGTTAAGAGCAGAGGCCGAGGCTCCCTCCGTCCCATGGGAGACGCTCATCCAGAGAGCCACTTCCAGGAAGTGGAAAATCTGAATTTAAGCTTCCTTAGGCTGAGGAAGGTGTATCACCTAGGTCTCCCACTTTCTGGGCAAGTGCCCTAACTCCTTAACTATTGGGCAAAGAGTTGGGGGGTCCTCCTTATCAGTGCTGTTTGATGTGGCTTTTCTTCACCTTTTCTTCAAAAGAATCACTGCACCATGGAGTCACTTTCTTATGGCCAAACTGGATCACAACAGAGGTTAGGCACAAGTGAGGTGCTGAGGTGGCCCTTCCAGCTTGCTTCTGAACGTGCTCATACAAGAGAACCATCAGATGAATATAAGTTTTGATCGCTGCTGCCCTCTACTAAATTACATTGCAACCAAGAACTCAACAAATTGTAACAAAAGCAATATCAGGAGTTAACAGAATGTGCCGCCGCTTGAAAAGTTAGCTAAAAGTGAAAAATATATCCAACATACCTTCTGGTGTCAGAATGAAGCTCTCATGCCAGTAGAAACCCATTTCTCTTGTGAGAACTTCTGGAGGAGCAGTCCAAAGTGTAGTGGTGGCTTGCTGGACACAACTCCCCGTGTCTCAAAATTAATGCCTTCCAAGTCTCTTGGAGCTGATGTGGCAAGTTTAAAGGAGCCTTTCAATAGAGTTCAGTGTTCAAAGATTCCCACATGACCTATGACTTAAAGCTATCTTATTGGATCAGCTGTGGAACGGCTTGGCCTCAGATGACATTTCATGAGCATTAGTTTGTGGTGTAAGGTGCTCTGAGCTCAGGCAGAACAGAAAAATAAATACTCCTTTTGGCTGAAAACACAGTAAGAATGTGCTAGTACAGTAATTAGGACACTTGCAATTATTTGGAGTTGGAAACTAGTAAGCTGCCTTCGCTATGCTTATAAAACAAAGAGCTCTGGAGTCTCTAATAACACCCAATGAGCCAGGACTTCAGTTTATCACCTCATCTATAGGAAGGGCAAGTACATGTAGACAATAGTGTAATTAGGGTGGAATGAGTGGGGCACCAACTCCGGGTGCCCCTTTAGAGAGGGCACCAGTGGTATCCTGCAGCTCTCCATACCCCCTCTCTCTGGAGCCCAAGCGTTCCCTCTCACTCCTACCGTCCCACCCTGCCTCCTTGGCAGTCGGTAGCATGTCTGGCCAGGCCACTGAAATTATAGTTATGCCTCTACAGGTGAAACATCTGTTCCATGGAGGCTGGAAGGGGGAGAAGGTGGTAGGAAAGCTGTAGGTGACTGCATGCAGAAGGGGCTGATCTGTCTGGGATAAGGTTCCCTAAGGGAAAATGGCTCTAAAATGTATATCAGATAGCTTTTCCTTTTTCAGCTCCCAGCCCAGGGTTGCATGCCTACCCCACTCGGGTCGGAGCTAGAAGGCTTCTGAGTGCTTGAAACTTCCCTTTAAAAATGTCATAGTCATTATGCTTAAAAAGGTGGTCGCAGAAAGTCCTGAAGCTTTTGTCCAGCTAAAGTAGCATCCATCACTTCAGAAGCACAAAAATCCTGGTTCTAGGCTACCTATGGCTTGTCTAAGTGATAAATCCTATTTCACCTTCACATGCCTTTGCTACACTGATGTAGTTGCCTCATGGCCATTTTTGGCACTTACTCATAGCTTGGACTCTCTTTCCACCTGTGTGCTAGCTGTGTGGGGACGGAGAGGAGCTGAAAAGATCGGTGGCCTGGGCACTTGCCCAGGGACCAAGATCTGGTTTCTAGACCAGCTCCTCAACCAGAGAGGACTGGAACCAGTATTTCTGCTTGCCAGCAAAGAGCACTAACCAGCAGCACATAGGCTAGGCATTAATCCGAGCACTTTCTAGTCCTAAAGGTGCAGGTATGTAACACTTAGACTGATTTAAACTGAAAGGCACAGATGTAAAAGCCCATTAAACAGCCTTCAAGCCATTTGGAACAGTTCAAAGGCGCACATGGAAAACTAGGTAGTCCTTTGAACCATTTCACTGTGAAGTGGTTCAGTGGTGTATGTGGACACCAAATGCTCTATGATGCTAACAAGAACACTGAAGAACAGTAGAGGGAAGCCTGGGCAAATACCAACCTGCCACACACCCTACAACCCTCCAGCCAGGATTTGATCTATCAAGAAAGTTTTGGTCCTCCCTGAATGGCATCTGGACACTTCATGGAAAATGTGGACACCTACTCCATAAATGGAGAATCAAAGAGAGTCCGGGTTGTGATTGTGGTGTGATTTTTCAGATGGTGCAACACATTATGAACGATTGCCCAATTAGATCATTTAATGGTAATCTAAAATCAGTCCGTGCAACTACCCCTGAAGCAGTTGAATGGTTATCAAACTTAGCTATTAATCTATGAATGTTGTACTGCTGTGGTTCCGGTCAGTCCTCCAGGCACCCCATATTGCATTGCTGCACATCTTTCCCTCTACCCCCAGCTGCTGCAACTGGCTGCTCTGGTAAGTGAACAAAGCTTTACTGCCCCTATTTTTTTCCCTTTTTTATTGGCACATATTATCAGTTAGCTCCCTTGCACCACTTGGCAAGAAAGCTATCTTTGTAGCAGCCAGCTGTTTCCTCATGTCCTAGTCAACCATGGCCCCTCAACAATTACAAACCAGTTCTCAATCTGTGACATTTAGGAATAAAACAATTGTTATTCAATGCAATTGTTAAGTGCATCCATGTCCTATATAGCACAAGGGCCAAATAGGATGTGGCTTCAGTCCTGTGCAGCCATGGTAGCAGGGCAATGTCACCAATCACTGCATTGTGGGAAAAATTATAATTTGCTATCGCCATGCTTCAAGAGAGGGAGAAAAGGCAGATGAAACTGCTTTGGTCCAGGCAATCCAGCTCTAGCCTACAGCAGCCTGGAGGAGGAAGAACAGTACTAACCATTCCAGGAACTGCTTGCCCCCTAATCCCAACCAGCTCTCATTTCTTCATCCCTGCCATCCGCCGGCATCACTAATGTCCATTCTTGGCCTCTTATCTACCCTAACATACACACTGGTCTCCCACCATCTCTCTCCATGACCCAGTGGGCCACGGTGTGTTATGAGATATTTGGCCATTTTCTGGCTTTTAGAACATATCTATGGTTCTCATCTCTTGTGGCTAAAACGTGCCATGTTGCTCAATTTCTGACAATCATGGGTTAAATTACTTACACTGTATATTTTTAAACCGCTTTAACTGAAAAAGAAGTGTGTCTGTTCATGTTTGATGTGATCATCTCCTTAAAAGTCTGTGGATTTGACAGGAACGCCAGCCATAAAGGGCTGTTTAAAGAATATAATCAATGATTGAAGAGCATGCAAGGCTGAACAAATACAGTTACCTTTGCAAAGGTAAATGCATTATAAGTGCTAAAAAGAGCATCGTCTTCACATCAAATCAAGCAAGGTACAGGATTCGAGAAACACTGTGCCACGAGGCAATTTCTCAGCACGACATTAACCTCAGAACACAAAGCGATGCGTCTGGAAGCAGAACTGCTGAGCTGCAAACAACCTGGGTGTGAGTCAGAGAACATTAGGACAGGCCCTGTCCACCAGGAACATAGACTTGATTGCATGCGACTTGTGTCAACTCTGCAGACATCAAGAGCAGAACATAAAAGCAAGGCAACAGAGAGATTTCTAAATGAGCCATTCAGCCTCCAAGGCAAGTAATCTGGCAAGAACTCAAATTCCAAGAGAGAAAGTCAGCAGGCCAGGTTTGTGCTCTACTGCTAGAGTCTTCATTCATTTTCTTTCCAAGGGAAAAAATATATCACTGAAACATCATGTTTGTAAATTATGATTCTGTCTTATAAGATGGATTCATTTTCTCTTAGACTAGCCCACAACTGTGAAAGCAGAATCCCAATCACCTGCTCAGGCTCATTAGTGTCTTTGGATCCTAACAACCCACTCAGTTGCAGTAAATGAAAAACTAATCCCTATTTTATGCCATTGGCTGAAAAGGATTAAGCAACGCTTGCTGCCCATGCAATCAGCCTTGCAGCGGAGAGATTACTGCCTTCTAATACAGTAAGTCTACACATTCCAATCTGTTACAGTAAGTAGCATTTAAAGCTTATTCCTTGAAATGCTTAAGCGTATTAATACTGTAGGACATAAGATTGTTTTCTTATGGTGCAGTGATTCTTTTGTCACTGCTACTAAACTTTGTATTTATACTATTTCCCAGAAGATACCTAATTACGCTACTTTACTTCTAACATTTAGGTAAGCAGCGTTAGCTACTTTGAAAACTCTTGGCAGATCTAAACAAAACCTTTGTTAGTAAGGGTCTGACCTTGCCAGCAATAAATATCTAAAATTCACCTGCAGGCTCACATCTTAAGTAGCTAAAACTGAAAACAGCCTCTTTAATTAGCTGTTTAAGAGTGTGATGTGTCAGGTTAAAGGGTGTGAAGTGTCAGGTCATATTTTTGCATCTTATTTTATTCCCAACAGATAAATAATGGCTTTCATTTCAGTTACAATTAATGTTGTCTAATCACCATTGTGGATTAGGCTCAGAGCTGTAACCCTTGGACCTTCCACATTAGTTACAAGCCCAGAACTCTTCTTGATGGGCATTTCACACGTGAAATTAGTGCAGAATTATGTGGCAGAGAAAAACAGTGCAACTCTAAGGGGAGAATTTCTCTCAAAGGTTTGACTTACAATTATCATTAAAAAACTGATTGTGGCAATGAGCCATCTGTGAATTATAACACTATTGTTTGAGAACAGGCGATCTATGTTCAGAGAAAAGTTCAGTCCCAGACCAGAACATGAGATGTAAATTCTGGGAGACCCTGCCTCTATTTTTCAAGTGTGATTTATTTTTTTTTTTGGAGGTTGCAAGCACTCTTTGTAATAAAAATGGCTCATTTTATGTACCTGTATATTTATACACACACACATGATACATACTACATATAGATATTTGTATTACTAAAGTCAACCATGAAGTGACAGAAGATGCTAAGATGCAGTTTTGTCACTATTACATTTTTATAGCAAAGTATTACAGTTTTGTATTATATTTTATATCAAAGGAGCCATACACTATAGTTTACTATCACTGTTCTAATATTATCAGAGCTCAGTAAATGCTGCATATGAAAAAGATGCCACTTGAATATAGCAAAGACCTTCCCAGTAGTTTTCACTTCTTACCTTTTACATTCATTCCTGATTACTTAACTTGTCCACCCACCACTAGTTTAATTTTGTCATTATGTACTGTTTGTCACCTCCTTCAGGACAGGGATGAGCTTTTTTGGCTGGGGTACTGGTCATAATTAAAGCTTGACAGTGTTGCCTCCATAAAAAAGTAACAATGAATTTCCCAACTAAAATTTTCATTGACAAACTTTAGACCGGGGATCGGCAAAATATGACCCTTGAGCCAGATGCGGCCCACCAGGCCATTCTATCTGGCCCATGGGGTCCCTAAATATTAATTTCTAAATTTTTTTTATCTGCCCCTGGCTGCCTGTCAAAGATGACAGGCAGTGGGACCGAGGGGGAGCCAGTGGCAGAGGCCCCCCTCCTGCTCCAGCTCCCCGACCCCGAACACCAGCCAGAAGCCTCTGCCTACCAGGGGCTGTTGGAAGCTTCTGGCCTGGGGCTGTTCCTGTCTCCCTGCACCAAGGGAAATACAGTTAAGGCGGGGGGGAAGCCAGGGGAGGACCGTGGGTGATCGCCCAGGCCTCAGGGCTGGGCGGGCCAGCTGCTGTGGTCCTAGTGCTGCAGCCAGGAACCACGTGGTGCTGGAGGGGTGGGCAGGCAGGCAGGTGGGCAGAGGGGAAGGGGAGCAGGGAAATGGCAGTGGCAAGCGGGTGGAAAGGGGCAGTGAGTGGTTACGTAGAGTGCCGCAACAGCTGGGCAGGAGTGCGGGGCCTGTGCCAGTACACTGGGACCAGTGCCGGTGGGGCCCAGAGTGGAGCAGCAGGAGCGCAGGGCCAGGCTGCCAGAGGTTCTATGGAGCCGGGCTGCGCTGCTCAAGCAGGGAGAGAAGGGAGCCAGCCCGGCTCCACAGAGCCACTGCGCTCTTGCTGACCCGCTCTGGGCCCCACTGGCACTGCACTGGCGCAGGCCCTGTAATCCCACCTGGCTGTTGCTGTGCTCCACACACCCACCTGCTGCCCCTTCTCCTCTGCCACTGCCATTTCCCCACTACCCTGCCCCTGCCCACTATACTCCAGCACCATGTGGTTCCCAGCTGCAGCAGCAGGACCACAGGAACATTTGGGATGTGGTGCCAGAGAGGTGAGGGGTTGGGGGGAGGGAAGTGGCAGGAGAAGGGCAGCAGTGGCAGACAGGGGGCAAGTGGCAGTGAGCAGGAGTGCCCCATGCCAGTGCCCGGGGCCAGGAGTGGCAGGAGCCTGGAGCCTGGGCTTGCAGGAGCACTGGCGGGGGCTCTG